GCAACTTCTACTCCCTTTCCAGATAAAAAGAACATCGTCTATATAACGCCTCCATTGCACCAGGTTCGCACCAAACGGATTATTATGCCATATATTATTCCACTCCCAATCTGCCACAAAAATGTTGGCATAACTTGGTGCGAACCTGGTGCCCATCGCTGTACCGCATATTTGGAGGTAATAGGATCCTTCAAACCAAAAATAATTATGAAATAAAATGAACCTAATAAGATCCAAAATAAAAATAGCTTGTTCTGAATTCATCTGGGGATCATTAAACAACATATTTTGTATTGCCTTCAATCCTTTTTCATGGTCTATCACAGTATATAGAGATGTTACGTCAATAGTGACCCAAAGATATTCATCGTTCCTCCATTATACTACATTTGGATTAAACATTTAGCAAATTACATCACAATCCAGTTCAGTCTAGAGCTAGGCTAAGCTATGGGAAACTTTGTAAATGAGAAACATTATTTTATTCCTGCTTGTCCTTGTGTACACCGGAAGGGAGGACATGCTGAACGCTGGGTACACAGGTCAGGGATGATATGCTGAACGTTGGGTACACCGGAAGGGAGGATATGATGAATGCTGGGTACACAGGACAGGGAGGATATGATGAACGCTGGGTACACAGGACAGGGAGGATATGCTGAACGCTGGGTACACAGGTCAGGGAGGATATGCTGAACGCTGGGTACACCGGAAGGGAGGATATGATGAATGCTGGGTACACAGGGACAGGGAGGATATGATGAATGCTGGGTACACAGGACAGGGAGGATATGCTGAACGCTGGGTACACAGGACAGGGAGGATATGCTGAACGCTGGGTACACAGGACAGGGAGGATATGATGAACGCTGGGTACACAGGACAGGGAGGATATGCTGAACGCTGGGTACACAGGACAGGGAGGATATGATGAACGCTGGGTACACAGGACAGGGAGGATATGATGAACGCTGGGTACACAGGACAGGGAGGATATGATGAACGCTGGGTACACAGGACAGGGAGGATATGCTGAACGCTGGGTACACAGGACAGGGAGGATATGATGAACGCTGGGTACACCGGACAGGAGGATATGATGAACGCTGGGTACACAGGACATGGAGGATATGATGAACGCTGGGTACACAGGACAGGGAGGATATGATGAACGCTGGGTACACAGGACAGGGAGGATATGCTGAACGCTGGGTACACAGGACAGGGAGGATATGCTGAACGCTGGGTACACAGGGACAGGGAGGATATGCTGAACGCTGGGTACACAGGACAGGGAGGATATGATGAACGCTGGGTACACAGGACAGGGAGGATATGCTGAACGCTGGGTACACAGGACAGGGAGGACATGATGAACGCTGGGTACACAGGACAGGGAGGATATGATGAACGCTGTGTACACCGGAAGGGAGGATATGATGAACACTGGGTACACAGGACATGGAGGATATCATGAACGCTGGGTACACAGGACAGGGAGGATATGATGAACGCTGGGTACACAGGACAGGGAGGATATGCTGAACGCTGGGTACACAGGACAGGGAGGATATGCTGAACGCTGGGTACACCGGACAGGAGGATATGATGAACGCTGGGTACACAGGACAGGGAGGATATGCTGAACGCTGGGTACACAGGACAGGGAGGATATGTCTGATTGACAGTGTACGCACTTAGTGCGAGATAAAGAGGTGTGGAGTTCGACATTTAATATTATTACCACCTGGATAGCAACAGTACACATTTAATGACAGAATCACAATGATCAGTGTTTAGTAAATACCCAATTTGTGTGTTTAATTGCTGGTCCTTGTATTACTTTTATTTGGCAGCTATTATATATTTGTCTTATGTTTTATATGGGGCAGCTATTTAAAATATTACTAATGATTAATTTTTTCTGTCCTTAAAGTTCTATAGACAACTTGAGGTCCTCACAGTAAAACTGCTGATGTTTATCTATGATAATGAAAACAGAATTTCTTAAAGGAACACTCTGTATACCATAACAACTTAATTGTCAAGAGGTTCCTGGCAGAAGCATATCTTTAGGGGTGAAATTATTCATGAACACTTTAACCCCAAAGTTTTACTCCCTTATTCACTAAACAATGATTTCAAATCTCACAGATTGTAAGAGTTTGATTTAAAAACACCTCACCTTGGCAAAAAAATAATGGGGGTTTAGTTACAGTATATGATCATATATTGCATAAGCCTGCCACAACGTCAATGTTCCCCATTCTTGCCAGGTCCTACTCTAGCAGCATAATGCCTGTTCTTATGAGATCAATCCACTTACTTGGGAAATACTTCCTCCTGGGACTTTCTGCAAGTCAAGGCATTAGGCTGCTAGAGTAGAACCAAGGTCATGCCTTTCCTACCCTTCACACTTTCTCCCAGGCCACTGAACAAGAGGTGGTTACGCTTCTCCTTTCCTCTCGAACCACTACTTCCCTGTTTGATCCTGTCCCGTCTCACCTTCCTCAATTCAAACTCTCTCCTTGACCCTCTTCAATCTGGCTTCCGCACACTCCACTCTACTGAGACTGCTCTTATTAAAGTCACTAACAACCTAATTGCAGCTAAATCCAAAGGGCACTACTCCATACTAATTCTTCTTGACCTCTCTGCTGCCTTTGACACTGTTGACCATATTCTCCTTCTCTAAACTCTTCAATCACTCGGTGTCTGTGACACTGTCCTCTGTTGGTTTTCCTCCTATCTCTCCCAACGCACATTCAGTGTCTACTTTTCTAATGATACCTCCTCCCTTCGACCTGTCTTTGTTGGAGTCCCCCAAGGCTCTGTACTTGGACCCCTTCTATTTTCTCTTTATACTGCCTCTCTTGGCAAACTTATTACCTCATTTGGATTCCAATACTACCTGTACACTGATGACACTCAGATATACCTCCCCTCCCCAGACCTCTCCCCTGCCATCCTGCAACGTGTCACTGCTTGCCTTTCTTCTATCTCTGATTGGATGTCCTCCCGCTTTTTGAAACTCAATCTCTCTAAAACTAAACTCCTTGTCTTTCCTCCTCCTAATACTGATCCCCCTCTTTCACTCTCCCTTCATGTGAGTGGTACCCACATCAGTCGATCCTTGCAAGCGTGCCGTCTTGGCATTATACTTTATTCTGGCCTCACATATGAGCCTCACATCCAGTCTGTTACCAAATCCTGTAGATTCCACCTTAAAAACGCCCCTTTCTTACACAAGATGCTACTAAGGAGTTTGTCCATGCTCTAGTAATCTCTCGCAAGGATTATTGTAACTCTCTCCTAATAGGTCTTCCCACAAGTCATATCACCCCTCTACAGTCCGTAATGAATGCTGCCGCTAGACTGATTTTCCTCTCTAGTCGTTCTCTCACACCTCACCCCTCTGTCAGGCTTTACATTGGCTTCCTTTATTCTTTAGGAGTCAATTCAAGGTACTAATCCACACCCTTTTATATTTCTTCACTGATCTGCAGGTATGCCCCTTCTCGGCCTCTCCGCTCTGCCCGTGACCTTCTCCTGTCCGCTGCTTGCACCCGTATGGCCAGCTCACGCTTGAAGGACTTCTCGCGGGTGGATCCTATACTTTGGAATAGCCTGCCTATGACATTCAAGCTCTCCCCTAGTCTTCAATCATTTAAAAAGTGCCTTAAAACCCACTTCTTTAAGAAAACATTATGGCCTCCCAGAGTAACCTCTACCTCACATACCTGTTCGTTGCTCTCTCCTAAAGGGTAGCACTCTATTCACTCCTCCAGCTCTGCTTCACTCCACATTGTTTGATTGCTACCTCCTGTCCTGTTGGGTTTTACACCCCACCTCCTATAGACTGTAAGCTCATTTGAGCAGGGTCCTCTTCAACCTATTGTTCCTGTAAGTTTTTGTAATTGTCTCATTTATTGTTAAATCTCCCCCTTTGATAATATTGTAAAGCTCTACGGAATATGCTGGCGCTATATAGATACCAGTAATATTAATAATAATGATATATGATCATATAATGTAACTATACCCCCGTTATTTTTTTGCCTAGGTGAGGTGTTTTTAAACATAACTATTACAATCTGTGAGATTTGAAATCATTGTTTAGTGAATAAGCGAGTGCACTGGATTGTGTATTTTAAAAGTGAATATAAGACCACATTGTTTGCAATGTGTCAGACTATGACTGAGCTCTCCTTTTTCTTGTTTCTATATTGCGTTTGAACTGGATGCCGAAGGAAAAGGTGTGCTTGCCATTTCCCATGATCATTTGGATGAGCAGCAGTTGGAGAAGTGAAGCATCTAGTGAGGAAGATTTTAAAATGTCATTGTCTCTGTGTGAGGAGTAAGACATCGAAGGGGTGAAGGCTTAAAGGGACACTATAGTCACTGTGACGAGAGCAATCTCGCCACATTGCATTGGAGAAGCCTGGTTGCTTGCCTGTTGCCTTTGGATTATGGCCCCATGTTAAAAGGCTTGATTTTCCCCTGCAAAGACACGAAAGCCGGGTCATTTGGTGCTTGCCCTGTTTGAGCAGTGATACCCCAGATAGCTATGCCATGGAGCCCATTCGTATAATGAAAGACTATGGGAAAGACTTTGGCTCCATGGCAATTGAACTGTATGTGTGTGCTCTGAGCGCCATTCAGTAATAATGTGCGCTCAGATCTGAGCTATCTGGGGATATGTTGCATGTCTGTATTTTATGTCATAAATGTAACCTTGTGTATTTATTGTATTTTACTGTCTTTTTGCTGCCATGTGTTCAATGGAGTTTTGCCTCTGTCTTTGGAGATAATTGGATTACTTCTAATTATCTCCAGGATAGAAGACTCTGTGGAACTGGTTTTGGGCAGAAAAGCCATGCTTCCTGTGGTCACAAAGGACTACAATCTATCTTTTGAACCACTGGACCAATTTGTATGATTTTGACGTATGTTTGTATTTGGAGTATGCTGATTCTGAAAATGTTTTATGTGAATGTGATGCATACTTTTCAAGTTATGAATAATGTGGAAAAATTGTATTTCTCTGCTTGTGCTAAATTACAGTACCCATTGTGTAAGGTAATTGAATCACAAGCAGAGGGGAGGAATTTGTGTGTGAGTGTCTGAGTTTATTGTATGTGTTTATTGGTTGTGTTCCAAAACCCTGTGGGTGGTACTAATGTGTAAGAATGTGTACATAAGCACAATAAACCCACAGCTCTGACTGTTCACTGCTTGACCCTCAACACAGAGCTTTGTCTCGTTCTTGGGGGGATTTACTGTAGGCTGTTCCAGTTTGACTGCTAGGAGTGTAAACCTATTCATATGGCTTTTCCTATTCGGCTGTTTACGGCATTCGTATGGTTTCCTGTTCGGCGGATTGGTGTTCTGCAGTAGCTGTGCCCGTGTCTCTGGAAGGGAAGATCTACTAAACGGCGGTTTAACCCTTTTATGCTGAGGGTGCCGTTACAGTCACCAAAACATCTTTAGCTCAATTAATGCCGTGTTTGGTGTATTGATCATGCCCCTGACGTTTCACTGCTTAATTCTCTGTTTTTTCTGTTTTAGCAGCCCTAGTCCCTCCCCTGGCTGTGACTGACACAGCCTGCATGAAAAAAATAGTTTCATATTTAATCAAATAGTAACTTACTTTCAATATTTGTATTTCCTGCTCTGTAAATTGAACATACATAGAGGAGGAGACATTAAGCAATGTTTCTATTTCTTCTCCTTATTTACAATTTTTTCCTTCCTTTGTCTGCACTGGATTATATTTGCTGAATATTTGTTATAAATTGAAAAGAAAGCCTAGCATTTTATAAAAAGGTTAATGGCAATTCTACTATTTACTATTGTAACTAAACAGGTGGCGTTATTAGAATCCACTGGGCCCCGGTGTGAAAATTGCCCTGGGCTCCCCCTCCCATGTGTCTCATCCCACCCCCTATGTGCCTCATTCTCTCTGCCCCACATCAACTCAATGTGTCCCATTTCCTCTCCATGTGTCCATGTGTTCCTCAGCCCCTCCATGTGTCCCATAGGCTCTTCCTCAGCCCCTTCATGTGTCCCATTCCCTCTCCCCTTAGCCCCTCCATGTTTCTCATACCCTCCCCCCTTCGAGTCCCTCCATGTGTCCCATTTCTCCTTCTCCCCTACCTTTGTCCCATACCCTCCCTCTCTCCCCCCTCCCCTTCATGTGTCCCATTGTGCCCTCTCCCCCCCTCTCCCTTCTCCTCTCTCTTCCATGTGTCCCATACCTTCCCTCTCTCCCCCTCGCCTCCAGGTGTCCCATTGTTCCCTCTCTCCCCCCTCCCTCCAGGTGTCCCATTGTTCCTTTTCTCCCACCTCCCTCCAGGTTTCCAATTGTTCCCTCTCTTCACCCTCCCCTCCAGGTGACCCCAGGGCCGGTGCAAGGATTTTTGCCGCCCTAGGCAAAATAAAAATTTGCTGCTCTCCCTCCCCACCCCACTCCACCCCCCGTGACATCACAATGCCTCAACCATATGATCTATCATATGAACTAACGCCAGTGCTGCTCACAATGTGTGTTTACATTAAAAAGCCTGCAGGGACAGGCTATAGACAACAGAACCACTTCATTAAGCTGCAGTGGTTCTGGGGACTATAGTGTCCCTTTAATGTGAGGTAAATTAGAGATTAGTGTCACTAATAATATACTATATTGCCTACTTACAACCAGATGAGGATGATGATGGGCTCTGGCCCATAAGGTGTCCAGGTGGCCCAGCTGCATCCCCTAGACCGTGGTAGTTACGTCAGTGAACTTAGCGTTATGTTTTGTTAAATTCACTCTACCTGAATCATTTGATGTATCTTACAATACACAGGTACAATGTCTGTTGAATAAAACCAAATATTAATTTAATCTGTGTGGCAAACTATTGCATTCTGTCAATAATGGGGCCCCCTCAATGCTGCCATGAGACCTTACATTTAGTCAGAACAATTTAAATTATTTGGAGAATAATTTTTTACTTACCTTTCCTACATTACATGCTCCTTCCTCATTATACTTGTGAAGTTACCAGGATGTAGTGATAGATCAAAAGTCAAAAATAAATTATTGGTAAGGAATGAGGCATGAAATCATGTCAATATGGCTTATACTCAGCAGAGTAGGTCGTTTTTAAAGGTGATTGTTTAACGTTTACAGCATTTTGTTTCACAATTGAAAACCTTTCTATATGTCCGATCCTTTTGTCAAAACAAGTTTCAGCCTGTTCCAGCTTTATTGGTATATAAATGTTTAATGTATTGCAGAGGGTTTCAGCATACTGTTAGAACAGGTCAGTATTATAATATTGATCATTGTTAAAGGACCACTTGTTTCCTGGCACTATAGTATTAATAGGTCCCCCCCCATCCTCATTGCCCCCCTCCCACCGGGCTGAAGGGAGAAGAAGGGGTTAAATCACTTACCTTTCTCCAGCGCAGGGCTCCCTCGGCGCTGGTGGACTCTCCTCCTCCTTCCGACCTCATCGGCTGAACGCGCATTTGCGGCAAGAGCCGCACGCGCATTCAGTCAGTCCATAGGAAAGCATTCTCAATGCTTTCCTATGGACGCTGGCGTCTTCTCACTGTGAAACTGCTATGTTTACAGCTGCAGGGTTAACCCTAGATGGACCTGGCACCCAGACCACTTCATTAAGCTGAAGTGGTCTTGGTTCCTATAGTGGTCCTTTAATTAGAGGCTAAATAAAGTATTGTTTAATGCTAAGGTCTAGGGGTTGTATGGGTTATATTAGAAGTGTATCTTTTCCCATTGACCGTCTGCAAGGTTGTGGAGATCCATTAGTCTCCTTCTCTTCAGTAGTTAAAACGTTAAGAACAGTAATACATAAGTAGACTATTAATAATGTCCCATGGTCCAAAATAACTTCAGTCTGTGATAGTTGGCCGATTTCCTAGGAAATGTAACTGGCTAACCTACTGACAAATCATTTACTCTGCACACTCACCTATTCACACGATGCCCCCATCCATAGGGTGTCTGCATTTTGTTTATAAAGTCTTACTGAGTGCAGATTGCAGAACACACACTTTACATTTGTATGTAGAAGCAATCCTTGAGAACAATATGTCTTTTAGCCCAAAAATGACTAGCAAACCAAAATCTAGGCAAATGTGCCATTGTACCAACTTTTAAATACAACAGTGAATACAGGGTAATAGAAACGTGTGTAGTAATACATCTTAATTATGTTTTGTATGGATTTGGAAGATTAGGAAACTTAAAGGTACACTATAGTCACCAGAACAACAGCTTACAGCTTAATGTACGGTATACAGCTTAATGTATTTGTTCTAGTGAGTATAATCATTCCCTTCCAGCTTTTTGCAGTTAACAATGTCTTATCAGAGAAAATGCAGTGTTTACATTACAGCCTAGTGATATCCCCACTGGTCACTACTCAGATGGCTACTAGAGGTGCTTCCTGGGGCATTGCTGCACAGTGTGACTTACATTCAGTATCTCTTCCCTCTGCATGCAGACACTGAACTTTACTCATAGAGATGCATTGATTCCATCCATGTAGCTCTATGAGGAGATGCTGATTGGCCATGCCGGCGTTTGGCCCCACCCCCATCCTGCCTCCTTGCCGATTTCAGCCAAAGGGAAGAAAGGAGGAGGATTGGTGTAGAGCTAGCGCCGGCGGGCCCACCTGGCATTGGAAATAAGGTAAGTTTCATTACCGGTTAAGGGGCATAAAGGGGGCAAGCCACCTAAATATGTAATAAAAGCCAACAAGAAAATATTTATAAGTGTACTATCCCAAATCCCTGTGCACAGTTAAATAACAAGAAAAAAGCAAGCAAACATAGAACATACAAATGTTAAAAAGCAAATGTATCGAACTGAGTATATCTGCTGATAATAAAGTAGTCTAGAGCAAATTATGACATATATAATCGCGATATAAAAATTGAGAAATAAACAGAAATGACATAAACCCTGGATGATGATAATGTATCGTTTATCTGTGAAAGCAGTACTATGGACAACTACTATGCGCTTTAATATATCAGGCTCAATGTTGTCACTGCTATATTAAACTAATACATCAAACAGGGACCAGAAATTAGAATACATCAAATAAATCGAATTAAATAACTACCACTACAAAAGAAGCCTCCGAGGTGTAGAGATATTTAGTATAGCTCCAATGGCAGACCCAGTCAATGTATAGACTTATACGTTGACCTCGGGGTGCCAGTATACAGGGTATTTGCTCACACAAATGAAATCAAAAGTAAATAGAGGCTGTAGGTAAATATATAGTAGGAAGAGGTATATAGCATAGATATCGTGAGGCTTAGAATGCTCACGACATATCTATAAAAAGAGTATTAGCCAGAAGAAATAGAAAAGACAGATAGTTAGTAACCTAAATATCTAGCAGCCTAAAATGCAACATTATATCTGATTACAAAAGTACAATACTATCTGCCTAGCGCAATATGACTAAACCTCTTCCAGTGGTAGAAAGGAGTAAGACTGACTATCTAATTAAACATATGGATAAAAAAAAAAAAAATTAAATGTGAAGACAATAAAGTGCCATGCCGTGAATAAGTGTGATGTCCCCAAAAGAGACAGAAAAGAAATGCCTGACGCGCGTTTCGGTGCTATACAGAAGCACCTTCCTCAGAGGCAAATGTGTTACTGCTAAAGGAGTTCTTTTTATACCTTGTATCGTGCATCCAGCATCCAATGAACGTCCTGTCTAGATGGAGGGCGTGGCCAGCATTTACCGCGCCAGGTAAAGCTGTTCGGCAGGGTTAGCCAAGTGAAGTCAATAGAGTGGGGCGGGCATAGTATGATGAGTCAATTAGACTCCACCCACGTGTCTCCGTGCAAGATACCATTATTACTGCTATCTTTTATTATTGTATATACCGTGGTGATCAAGATTTATTAATCCATATGGGAAACCTATTACAGAATATTTCTTAAAGCTCTATCATGATGGGTTGTTTGTGAAAAAGCGGGTACAGTGAATTTCCAGTATAAGGACAAATGAATCTATTAAAAAATAGAGGTATATGTATAGGATTCACTAAGTATTCCCTTCACTATAGTACTCCATCATATCGGTTGTATATTAATATACACCAAAATAAAGGTATATATGTAAGATTCACTATAAGTACTCTTGGTAGTTGGATAGAATCTACAAGGAGGTGTTAATGTGGATATAACAGGTATACACAAAGGT